TAACGCTGATATACGGGTCTTATCTTTTCAAAATGATCTTGCGTTAATTTAAACTTTGCTTCGTTTATGAAACGTTCGCTGTCACTCACGAACGATGATAGAACGCTGCGAGATCGCGGATAGCTTAACGTCGAGAGCGTGACAATTTCAACGCAGCGATCTCTGCAACAAAAGAGCGGCACATTCGCGTGTCTCGCGTCATCATAGATAGAGCATTAGAAAGCATCGGTGGATACATGTTCTTGACGCAGGCGCAATTAAGCCTCGTCCGCGGGGCGCAATGCATGCAGATATTGCACCAGTTACCGCCTCGATTGCGGAGCAATTACCACGGTACTCGTTACACGCTCAACAAATAGGCACGACGCTTCCTCCACTACCAGTTCCGTTTCTCCTCTCTTACCGCACGAGTGCGAAATTCGTGCTGCATGTCGAAACTTCCGACCGACGACGATACTACTAACGATAAGACGTTCCGTTGCAAATGAAATTATTTGTATGTACGTCGACGTATCGCGATGCAAATAGAAATGGGTTACCTTTAGCACAAGAAGAAATTTCTCGGTTACTCATGTATAATAAAATAAAAATTTTGAATAAAAATATATCTTTCTTTCCTGCGAAAGAGATTAAATCTCGAGAAAGGTATTTTTATAAACTAAACGGAATATGAAATATAATTAATTTAATAATTTTTGTTCATTAATAACTATAAATTTTTAAACTGTTTCCTTATTACACAATTAACCTTCAATATATTTCATCTATGAAAGTCATTTATGAGATACACACAAAATGAAATCGATACGCAATTTTAACTTTTTGTTTTTTAAAATCTTAATAACTTCTTGAATTTATATGCAATATCTGCGGGTAAATCAGGAATTACAATATACAAAATGGGAAGAGATATTTTACGAGAACAGAATTGAGATCACTTTTTATAGAAAGTTTATTTAAGTTGCATATAGTCGATTAACTTTATCTTTATATTACCATGCAGTAATACCAGTAGAAAACAATAATCGTTGACGCGATTTAATCTCTATGAGGACGGAAGAGAAAGAAAGAGGAATAGTGTCGAGAAAATGGCGTAATCAAAGTTAGCCGCAAACAATATAGAGAGAAAAAGAGAAGCCAAAGTAATGACGGGTTACTGACAAACAATACCACTGCGGCAATTATACCGGCGGGCTTTGCGGGCTCGATATTCCGGGAAATACCTACGAAACCGTTGTGATACGGCCGTCCATCGATATTAATTGATAAAACGGATTTCGAATTACTCCCACGGCGTTCGATGATATTTTACAATTCACGGAAATCCAGCTTGACGAAGTATGACAGCGGACAGCTCGATCGCGATCGGCCGTTTGGCACGAAATAAAACGGTTTTGTTAAAATCGATATATATAGAGGCTATTTCAAATCCCATTCCCTTCGACTCTTTAATTTCACTGACAGATCCTTTAGACAATTTAGAGTTGAAATTACGATCCGACAATTTGGTACATTTTGTACATGTTGATGAATCAGCAAACTCACGTATCGAGTAAATGGCACAATCAAGTTTAAAAAATACTCTCATTGTGCTAAATTATAACGATAAATATTAAAGATATTATAAATTGGAAAAGAGAATTAGTATCACTATAATTCGCTCGTGTAAATTACAAACAATCAAATATAGAAACGAACCCAGATCATAAATTAAATGAGCTATATTATAATAATGTGATGTTATTTTATTCAATTATAATTATAATTGAATAAAATAATATCACATTGTTATAACTAATATAGCTCGTTTAATTTATGACCTGGGTTGGTTTCTACAATTTGATAAATACATAGTTAGTACTAAATACTTTAAACTCGATTTAGTTAGATAGATATAAATTTGTTCTTTTAACGGACATTACAATATTAATTTAAATAATAATAAATAAGTTACAAGTCAATTTGAAGTATATTTTCCACTTACTTGAAAATTTTTTATAGCTATATGCTTCAATAACACTTTCATTAATATTATTTTTATTTTTAATTATATACTTATACAAGAAGACAAAGAAGCTAATAAAAGTTAACTCTTGGATTATAACGTTACTACTATCTATTTTTGAAGGTCAGCACCTATATTTTTCGTATAGAATATGGAGAAATAATCCTACTACATCTTTAACTCGAATAAATTTTTATATATATTTAATAATAGAAATAAAAAAAAAGAAAGAATATGTGAGTGCATAATAAAAGACATAATTAATAATTATAATAAATATTAAAATCATTAAACTAGCATACTACAGCTATAATTGCTTGAAATAAAAACCTGTTATCATAAATACCCCCTCCTCCCCGTTATCATAAATAAACGATGCGTGACATAGAGACTCAGGATTCAAGGAAGACTCAGTTTAATTTCCTGTCGCGTGATGATCGAGTTCGTTGAGGCGGAAGAACGATCGTTCATTAAGACGACGACGCTGCAAAGCGTCCGTTTCCGGACGATACACCGGACAATTTGCTCATCACTGTAATCGCGACGCATTCGCGCGTTACTGTGTACCCAATAACGCTAACGAGATTGCCGTAGAATCACGCACGTTGTGTCTAAGCAAATTGGTGGGCAAACGTTTGGCGAGATCCGCCGACAAATCGATCAATTCAATTGCAACACACGTATGAAGCAATTTGAAGTTCCAGAAAACCAAATATCGATTGAATAACTCGATATGAAATTTATTCGGCACGATTTAATAAACAAATGGATTTAATCTTATATTTTTTTTTAAATTTCTGTTGCCATTCTGATCGTAAAAAGGGAAACTTAAAAGTTTTTTCTATAACATATTGTAAAATAATTAATAATGTTATTAATATTACAAAAGAAAATTTGTTTCTGACAAGTATTTTTTGATACCTGAATTGAGTTCTATGATTCAATAATGAAAATATCAAATAATGAAAATATCAGAAACAAACAGATACAAATGTAAAGATAATATTCGAAAATAGAATGATAAGAGTTTACAATCTCTTCAGAAAATTTGAAAATAATATCTGAAAATTCAATCAACTGAGAATTGAATTCTAGAAATATTAAAGCAAGAGAATTATTTGTAAAATTGCAATATTATAGTCGATCAAATGAGATTGCATTAAGGAAATATTTTTTAGGGTTGCAAACACATTTACTCTAACTGAAAATGATTTATCTAATCTGATTGTAAACTAAGGACTGAAACTGAGATCACACACACAGGCTGCTGAAACTGTAAGCACTGTGTGATTAAGGTCATACTGAATAGGGTTTATGTGTCAAAGGGTTATACTATTGTATGAAGGGACACGTAGGACGTGACAACCGTATTTCCTGTAACCACAGATCAATAGGATTACATGGGTGTGCTATATACATAATACTATAAAATATGGTTGCACCACAAAATTCAATTATAAGTAAATACGATTAGAGGACTCAATTAGACGTAAAGAATTTCAAGAATATTAATTAAATAAAGCTATATATAATAAACTAAATAGCTATATATAATTAATACCTTAAATAGCTAATTGATATTCTAAATAATTAATTGATACTCGACAGCATTAAATTCTTACGATTAAACAAAAGTTTGAGAACAAAAGAAAATTGAAAATGAGTATATTAAAAAATGCCTAGGTAAAACAAATTAAGTTTTTAATATATATGGATATTGTTTCTAAATTTATATGTATTATTTTTTATGTATTCATTTTTTCAGCAATTAAATTTTTAAATACTTTTAAAATTTACGATTAAAAAATGGCTTAGAACTTAAAATTAAAAAAAATATCAGAATTTACAATATATAAAACTTTAATAAGCGCTTTAATTCATAGTAATATAATAAAAGAAAGCTAATTATTGTACTTTCGAAAAAATTTAATTGTATTATTCTGTATGATACTTAATTACTATAGCTATATATTTATAATTAATTACCAATTAATGAGTACATTTATTTTGGTGCTCCTTCTTAACTCATTGTTTAACGTTTTATATGCATTTTCTTATGAAGACATTTATGCGAAAACCGACATAACATAGTACTACATATTAGCTGCACAGCTGAGTATCCACGCATTCCTGTGGTGCCAGCGACGTAACCGGATTATGTGGCATGCATAGGTGAATTAGCAGGCAAATGTTCGGTAAATTCGTTTGTTGGCCGATCGATATGTCGTGGTATCGGTATCCAGCAAATTCGATTGTCCAAATAGCGACCGGGATGCTCGATTCAGTGAGATAACAATACTGTGGATAGTAGAACAATATCATAATTTTCTAATCGAGAAATTTTATATATAAATTCAATTAAAAAACAAATATCTTAAAAATTTTATGATAATTTACAGTATGTTTAATTTCATTTTATAATTTTCTCTTTTTTTAATTGAAACGTTAGACATTAAGAAACAGTACGTTCAAGTCAATATATATGTATATATTTTTATTAATAAAGAGTTATAAGTAATGAGAAAAGTATTGAAAAAACATTGGAAAAGGAAAAGCCACACGTATGCCACACCTCGAGAAACGTTTAAAAGTTGATAAAATTGCAATTTAGAAAACTTAACTTAATTAAAAAATTATTAAATTTGAAAAAGTTTATAATTTCAATTTATTCCAATCAATTACATTACATTTTGCAACTTGTAATTTATTGTTTTTAAACTAAAAATCGAGAAAGTGTCTTACGTTGTTTAAATAACATTTATCTTGTTCAACTTTATTTGAGATAAAGTGAAACAACGTCGCGAATCAGCACATTTTCCTTGCAGGCACGACAGATAGACGTAAGAAATGATCAGGCGCGGAAGCGTTTTAAGGCGAGCACTGTTCAAAGTTACGATGAAACTCACGTACTGCTTGAATACGTTCTCTCGTTCGTCCGTACATCAAAAGTTCGATCCCGAAGATCCATTAAACTTTATCTCGCTACTTGACTCACCGTTTCGTAAAGTTGGCTAAAGAAATTCCACCGAGGGTCCCTCACTTCTTTTTTTTTCCGCCGTCTTCGTTTTTAGCTCAGAACACCATGTAACACATGAGACTGTTTTGCACCTACAGCACGTCCACTAGCGCACTATGAACCCTGAGAGTCCAACAAAGAGAATCATAAAACAACCGGTTTTAGGTATTCGCGGCCAGCTTTATTGGCAGATTCGCATTATAATTTCGATCGTCCCGAACGCCGGGTCGCAGAAATCCCGGTAGATCGAGTGTCGCACACCACAATACCGGTTTCGTGTGAAAGTGGATTACGCACGTGGAAGTGAAATTATAACTGCCTCAAAAAGAGGAAGGTTTGTGATATTTAATGCAAGTTACAGGAGCACGGACAGACTCTTGACACGAATTTCAAAAATATTAGCGGGAGCTACTAGCTTTAAAACACATATAATTTATACTTTAGGCTGCTTTCTAATTTTATAATACTGTTTCTAAATAAAACGCTTTACAACCGGAAAGAAATATTTCCTTATTTGATTTTTGTCGATTATAAAAAAAAACTCAACTTGTGTGTGTGTGTGTGTGTACAGCACTAGATTTACGTTAATATTATTGTTAGGCGCCGTGTTGAATCGTTGCATATGTTATATCGAATGACTGTAATATGCTAATAGAAATGTTTGATTCATGTTTCATACAGAAGCGCAAGGTAGACGGTTGAATTTCTAAACCTTACATATACATGTATTATATAACTTTTTTTAGCTGATTGAAATTAACAGCTACCTTCATTAAAATAGAGACAATTATAATATATAACAGAATTAAAAAGTCATAAATTTATTTAAATCGCTAAAAATTATAATACTGACATAATGATTTATTTTTATTACGAAATATTACACGGCAATTTATACGATTTATAACTATAAAATTAAAGCTCTGTAAAACTGTTTAAATAATTAATTATTCAAAGAAGTGCATATAATAAAATTTAATAGTTCTTTTATGGTAATAGAATAATTTACTCCTGTCTTTAAAAACGCAAATTTAAAATACAAATCACAGATTAAATACTACTTAGTATTTAATTACTTTATTAAATACTATTAGGTAAATAGTAAATATTATACCTAACGTGGAACTTTCGCGATGATACCATTTGATGGACATTTTATGCGAGTGACGTTCTTAAAGGTGAACGTTAGAACTAGTAGCGGAACGCAAATTAGAGAAACGGAATGCAATAGCAACAGCTTCCAGTACGCTTGTTATGAAATAGTCAATTTATCGGTAAAAACCTCTCGTTAGATTTGTAAACTTATTTACGTAAACCAAACTCTATATGAAACTACATCTTAATGTTGTGCTCCAAATTCACACAATTATTATTATTATTATTATTATATTATTAATAATACAGATAATGTGTTCGATACGATGGAACAGGTGGAACATAGTGAAAAGTAAGGCTCATGTTTTAATTATATTGTCTAATTAAAAAACATTCGGAATTAAAGAAAGCATAAATACATCTATAAAATAAATAAATTAAGATAAAGTTGAGCTCTCGAGAGAACAAATAAATATATAAATTAATAACAGGTGATTGAGAGCAAAAAATTAAGACGCAGTTATTAGAGCGTTAATGTGTAAAAATGTATATTTCTAGATCTTATAAATAATATGATAAAATCGGACGTTTCGGCTCAATTCGAGCCATCCTTGTTAATGGTTTATTTATTATTTAGGTCTAGAAATACATTTTTACACATTAACGCTCTAATAACTGCGTCTTAATTTTTTGCTCTCAATCGCCTGCTATTAATTTATACATCTGCAAAACTATGAAATTATTAACGAATATTACAAAATATGTATTTTTCAAGCTGCCTAAATATATCACTAGTCTCTAATTTCTTTTACATATATGTGCTGTCTAAATACTAAGATTCATTAAAAATATATATATAACTAAAAATTATATTATTATATTTTATATACTCAAAGATTGAATCTTCTTTTATATACTCAAAGATTGAATCAAAAATTGAATCTTCTCGAATTTGGCAAAAGCTAAATATTGAAGAAAAAAAGTTCTATGCAATCTAGTGCAGTCTAGTACAAGAATAAAAAAACAGATCTCTAATCTTAAAGAAACAAAAGATTATTCCTAAAACAATATCTGATATTCAAAAAATTATCAGGACATTAGAAAAACGTATAAACAACCATTTCACAAAATGTAACCACACGTTCACTTAATATTATATTATAATAAATGAAATATATATTATAATATAGGCATTATACGTATAAATTATTCATTGAAGTATATTACTTGTGTAATTATTTAGTATCTAACAGTGATAGACTACGTATAACCATTCCAATTTTGAAGCGACAATGGATTATTCTCTAATTATACCATATCAAAATGACAAAATAATTCATTGCATTGATCCTGAATTTCCACGAAATTTTTGCGTACTCATTTATTTCATAAAGGAAGTTTGTGATTTAATATAATTTCTTGAAGGTTGCTCTATTTTACATCTCTGTAAATCGATATTTTGTCTAATAAACCACTAAAAAAAGTTTCTTTGTAACGTTCACACTCTATCACTCAACGACAATGATAACATATAGATAGTCTCTAACTCCCGCTTTACATACATACGGTAACACGATTCAATATACAACGATCGATCATCTACAGCCAATCAGACCCTATGTACGACTTGAGTACGGCCAAACAAATTATTTCCTCCCGATTAGATCAACGATGTGGTAGCATAACACAGCAAATCTATACAGTGTGTCGGTCATCGAATTAAATTGCGCGATCACGCGATGCATCGGTGTTTTATGTATCTCACATTCACATTCACACTTACTTTTTACTTGACCGCAATATTCACCGCTGAGAGAGTATTTATTAGAGAATGAATTTTTTTCTTACTGAAGCAACAACCTTTTCCGATGTTTACGATATTGTACATATATGTACATTGAAAATAATACATTATAGATTCTATTGATATTTATATCACTGTATAAAAATGTACAATAAATAATTAGGATTACTGAAGCGCAAATCGTAAAGATGTTCTAAATTTTGTGCCCATATAGTAAATATTGTTTAATTAATATGTAATAAAAAATTAAGTAAAACTTTTTTGTAATTTTTTTGTAATGTTTAATGTTAATAATGTTCATAACAATCAATTTATCTTGAAATTTGATTTGTTATACATGAAATTTATTTAAAATAAATTGTATAAAATTAAATCCGATACAATTTATTTAAAATAAATTAGAAAGTTTTATTTTTACTTTTTTGTTATTTTTTTAATTAAAAAGTTATTGATGTCCAAATTAATTTAATTAAGTAATTAACTTCACGTCTCCAAAAATAAACTCCCATTACTACACTGAAAAAAATTTCTGGTTGAAAATGGACGAATCAGAATTTTCTGGTTAAATTTATTAAAATTCTAGTTGAGATAACAGGAATTCTGGTTGATACAATATTTCTGATAAAATCTATATACTAGAATTCTCATTTTTACCAGAATAATTACATCAATCAGAATTCTGATTATCTCAACTAGAATTTTAGTAGATTTAACCAGAAAATTTTGATTCGTCCATTTTCCACCAGAATTACTATTTAATCCAACCAGATCATTTTTCTCAGTGTAGGAATGAATACGAATTACATAAGATAATAAATAAATTCATTAAGAGTTTCAATCTTTTAGACAATTTTTACTGTTTAATTGTTTATATGTTTACGATATTTATTGACTCGATAAAATCGGAGACTATAATAATGAATGCATTATTATAACGTTATTTCCAACTCTATTACCGGGAGTAATCTGAGGCAGTTGTCATTAATTTCACTTCACGTAATATCGATCAGACATACGGAGCAAGTATCAAAGTCGGCACGCGACTGCCCGGGGCGCGAATGAAGGAGCCGATATGAGTTGGTCGCACTAAAAACTCGGAAATTCCCGTTGGCGGTCTTGCTAAAATCGACACGCGCCAAGACTGATCTCGAACTGCCACAAAAAAACGTCTACGTACTCGATACTATTTATTCCGGTTCACACGCTCCCGTTCCCACGAATATCGAGCGAGTTACATCCGTTCTAAGGCGAAGAGAGAAAAAAGGAAAATAATGAGACGAAGAACCTGGCACTACGATTTGCCAGGTGGCACGCGAGCAACTCGAATGAACAGACGGACGAACGGACGGTGTCCGAAGAAACTCAGTCCACTATACCAGATGGAGGTCTACCGAGACACTGGCGACTTCTCTCGTTACCAGGACATTCGCCAAGTCTCTCGCAAGTTGAAACCAGAGAAAGAAAGAAGAAGAGAAAGAGAGAAGAGAATGGTCTTCTCATTCTCTTCTTCTCACATGCACGGTGGCCGAACTCACTCTCACTCGCTCACACTCGCTGCTTTTCATGATTTTCTCCTGTCTCCCCGCCGCGAAGGCTCGTAACTCTGGCGGGCACGTGGGGAGAGTGAGAGGTCTCCGTGAATGATTTCGCGGAGGCTTGGCCCGAATGGCCGCATATATGTCACGGTAGCGATCAAAGTTGTCTCTCTTCCCATGAGAAAAATGCACTACATTGTTGACGATGGTTAGATGAAACTGATGGCGTAGGAGGCAGATTGAGTGATTTATTTACATTTCTTTGACTCAAGATGTATATCTGATCGTGAATGGATCAAATATTATACTTCTATTTATAGGACATACACAAGCAGAAACTTTGATGTTATCTGAAGTCATTATGCTATTAGCAGTATTGTGCAGATAGATGATTTTAAAATTAGCTAGATAAGATGAAAATTTACCTTAGATAAGATAAAGTTGATTCAATTAAATTCATCTAGATAATCTAGATAAATTTATCTGAAAATTCATCTGAAATTTTCTAGATAATTTTTTTTATTTTTAAGATTTATACTTACAGTTACAACAAATAATTAAAAAATTCATACAAAAGACTTTAGGAATCAACTTCTGGTTGTTAAAAATTTCGAGATGTACATTTAATTAATAATAACATGTATGATTTCGACTCTTGTTTGAATCATCTTCAGCGTTACAACCTTAATATTACAGTAATTAATATATCGCAGTAAATGTCCTTAATTTTAATTTGCGATGACGTTCTGCAATTGTCGTGTGATTTACTATTACTTTGTACGTGATTTGTTGACTCCGTGAGGTGAGCCCAATTTTTATTTCTGTTCTCCTCTATATTATTCACCTTCTTCAACGTTGTTTTTAAATTTTAGCTTGGGTTTTTATTCACAACGGTCACATACAAAAGGAGAAAAAACTTTGAAGACATTGACTCAGATTTATTAATTGATGTAATATTAAAAGGTTGTAACACTGAAGATGACTCAAACAGGAGTCGAAACGTACGAAATTATATGGTATTATTAATTAAATGTATATCTCGAAATTTTTAACAGCCAGAGGTTGACTCCTATAGCCTTTTGTATGAATTTTTTTATTGTTTGTGTGTCGTATCAATTAAAAGAGTCTATAACTTATTAGTTTTAATTTAATTCCATTATTATACTCACAGTTAATAAAAAATATGAAATTTTGCCATTTGTTTTGCCTTTTCTGTGGCTGAACTAGTGTACACTTTTTGTTTGATCGTTTTCATTAAAAGTCTGATACAGATTAGCTTTACGTAAATAACGGTTTGGCCGTCAGGGAGAGCGGGAAAGTTATGACTTTAAATCTTTAGTCACGGTAGTGTTGCGTGATCGTTGCAGATATGAAGTAAAACGCAGGTTCGTCTTCCATAATTCCATCGTACGCGAAACTGCCGATAAGTCGTTCATCATCGAGTCAGTGTGGATTAACAAAACGTATAATCATGATCGACCTTTAACAATATATTTTCACTCGCATAATATCGCGATGCAAAGAGAGTGGATTTCTTCGGGATGCCGCATTCTTGGTTCATCGCGACCAAGAATTTTGTACCTTCACTAAGACTTTGTAACGCTACCTAATAGTGCAAATGCGACGTTGCCTTCAACCGTCATAAGATATCGATGCCATCGCGATACGAAAACTATGATACGTTTCGATTTCACTGACCTGAAACAATCTCTTATTGTTAGTTTATTTTTGCAACCGTTGCTGTTACAGTCTTTCCAACTCACCAAATTTGGTTGATATTAATTTCATATAATATTATATCACAACAATTTATAAGTGACAATTTATAAGTGACAATTTATAAGTGTATATAAAATATTTTATAATTATTTTCATAAATATATTTTCATTTATACATTTTAACGTAAAATTATGTTGTAGATCTATAGATTTGAGAATCTTAAATGATATCTTTAAAATAATTTTATAAATTAATCTGATTATATATTTTTTTTACTTCGTTCTTTTCCTTGAAATACATTATGCTGTCTGGTTAGAAGTTGTAAGCCTCTCATCAAATCTATTCTGTAACGTAGGTAACATATAGTGAATTTATTCGCTGCAAATTAAAAATCTACCACGGAATGATACGCAAATAAAAATTTGCTTCCATTTATGGTCCAATAAACACAAGATGGTATATTATACGATCAAATCAGATATATAGAAATCTCAGACATACTATAATATAACTATATTGATATTAGATTGATATTAGATGTACTGTTGATCTGATAATGAACTGAATCGAATACATGCTGGTGAAGTGCTTTACTAACAGGCCCATAGAGTGAAACTACTCTAATCCTTGGCGTCTCGTTGGGTTAATTGTTGCGGTAGCTTTGTAATTTGTAGTTCCGGTTGCGGTCAGTGATCCGTCATACAGTAACCGAACGTGACGAATTACATTGATATTGCCAAGACTACATCAAGACAAAGAAGACACTATTTTTGACAAAAATCCATTCGATATTTAATCGGTTTATGAGTTAATTTTGATATTGATTTTTACATCTGATATATGTGAAACATTTCCCCGCATTCGTTTATCAAATTCTAATGTAAAATTTTCAGATCTTTAAATTTTTTAATGTATAATTGGAAAATGTCCTTTCTTAAAATTTCTGTTATTTAGTTTTTTTTATGTCAAAGAATTTATTTATTTTTAATAATTTATATACTGTTTTGGTCACGTACGTTTTAATAATCTAAGGTCTAAATTTTATACTTTTTCCACAAAAACAAAAGAATTATTAAAAACTTCTTAACATAATATATATAAAATGATGGATATTACATGACTTCTTCCAATTATTCTTTTTTATATTATAGATGTATTTATTTGAAGAAAGGAATTCTTCATATGCGAAAAAGATTTATGAAATTGCAATAACGTATAAATTACATTATTATTACGAGATTAAAAAAATACTGTCATGTAGACCCAATCATTTAAAACGGTCCATTTAAATTCTATTAAATAGCGCATTCGTGCAGATTGTGCAGAACTTTTATTTTGCAAGATTATATGTATATATAATTAATGAATATAATATAATATTTCCTAAAGTTTATATCTATAGATATAATTATTTGGAGAAAGGAATTTCATATATGTTACGAAAGTTTCACAAAAAACCCAATGATTTGAATTGTATTAAATAACATATTAGCGTGGATTATGTCGAAACTTCAATTTTGCAAGAGAAATCGAGAATGAATAGGATTTAATGTTAATATGTAATTCACGATTTTAGCATTCCGTATAATGATAATACCCTTTTATATATAAATATGTATATAAATGCATGTGTGTGTGTGTATGTGTGTGTATAGCTTTGGAAATCAATGAGAAGCGCCGATAGCACCAATAAAACTTTCCGATTGTCTTGAAGCCAAATAAATTAAGATAAATTGAAAAACTGGGTCGTTTCGCGATTCGAAAATTGCGGACGATGCGGCGACGTTGCGAATAACAAAGGTAATAATTTATATTGCGCCACCGCAATATAATCGTTTACTTTTAGCAATGAGAAAGTTTCCAATAATTGACAGAGATGACAATCACGCGCGTTTTGTGAAGATAGGAAATCATAGACACGGCATTATTTGTACAATGATTGCGTAATATTCGTCGTTAGTGATTATTAATTATTGAAATTGCAAACTTAATTGTTAAATGAATATTGATTATTTTATTTCAATCGCTATGCTTTTATTTAATAAAAAAAAATTAATTCTATAATTATGATTTTTAAATAAAAGTGTATTATGAATTTAAATCACATAAATATGATGTATATTCTGTAATTCAGAATTAGATGAAATTAAAATATAATGGTTGCAAATACATCCATAGAAAAATTTAGGAAAAAACGTAATTTTTCTACAAAATAAAATTCATTTTTTTCCATGACGAATATTTGTTATAATTTTTTTCTGTCATAAAATCTTTGATCATCACGTCTGCCTTTCATTAAACTTTTATACCGCAAACTAATGAATGTGTACATAACTCTCAGTATTTCCGCTTTAAACCACTAATGGCTGCTGCGCGTTTTGATGCACTATTTCAATGAATTCATTGTGTCTGACTTAATCACTGTAAAGTTATATTAAAAAAAAAGGAAATTGACATTGCTTTTTTAGATTTACCTCTCGTGGAAATCTAATAAAATGCAATTTGCATTTCAGGGATTTTGTTAATATACTTTATGAACAAGTTTCGACAAATTAATTAGATATTTTTACGCGACAAATTATTTACAGTACTTTAGAATAAACATCACAAATTTAATACCCAGACTTATCAATACAGACAGGAATTTTACGTAAATTAAATAGTAGCGTATATAGAACACGTTGCAAATTAGAATCAAATTTTCTAGAATATATGCGTGATGATTGTGATAGCGTGTAATCGAATAATTGATGTTAATCGTATCACAGACAGTCTGCTAAAATTTTCTCTTGATCGTCCGTCCTGTTACGCGTCAATTAAATACGAATGATTACATTGAATATAAAATTAATCCGAACATTTATCTCATTTGGTTTAAACAGCTTTTCTTTCAATGCGTCTGACGCAAATTACGGGCCATAATACAAATTAATATCTCTAATGCGCACGCGAATCAACGTGCGTGTCTAATATATCTAAAAATAATGTTTCTTCATTTTCGCGTGCGTTTTCTCTTCGTTCGTGTTTTATGCTTTCCAGAATACAATTTCATTATTCAAAATCCGTGCTTTATACAGCGATGCAATTTTCATTCGTTCTCATAAACCGGAGACGCGGGTGTCT